AACTTGGGTCCTGCTTCCTTCCACTCACCATCCCCTCTCCCCTATGTGGCCACGTTCCCAGCCAGCTCCCCCTTCTCCCGTTCCTCCGAGTCCGCGGCCACCTCCCTCGCACAACAGCCTTCCCCTTCCAATCCTTCCTCGAACACACCGCCTCCACGGTCCGCAGGCAAATGCAACTGCCGCGAGGAACCGAGGCCGGCCAAGGCGGCCGAGATGAGCAGAGGTGAGGCGGGCCGAGCTTTAGTAGCTGCCCAGGCACATACACAAGATCTCGATAGTGTCCGTTCCGTGCAACTGCTGCAGCACCAAACGTCGACAAGGACTTCGGCGCCCTTGCGTCTTAAGTTATCTGTGGTCCCCGAACTCTGCTCAGTTTCCTCTAAATCAGAAAGCCGTATAAAAATCGAAAAAGTGAAGCCGTATAAAAACTGTGAGGTAAAATTCAAAACAAACGGTTGATGATGTATGTTGCTGCACAGGAAGGAGTGTCATCCCACCCATTTATACAGCCGGAAAGTGGAGCAAAACGTAGGCTGATCTCTAAAGGCACGGCCAAACGCAAAGTGAGCCTGAAAATTCCACGTCTGCGCTCGTTTTCAGCAGAAACTGAAAGTTTTATAATAGGTCATCAGAAATGTCACCACAGTTCGTTAATACATTAAATGCTATCATAATTTCAGTAAAATTAATACTGATATGTTGGGCCGTAGCTCACTAAATTGTGAAGTAGGGCAACAAGAGCATAGGCTCGGATCGGCTTACTGCTGCTCGACTTACTGGAGGAGGGCGCATATCAGAGAGTGGTACCCAAGAACAACAAAGCCCGAACCTGAACAGTCTTCATAGAAGTTCGTTTAAAAAATGCTCACAGCACGAGTATTCCTGCTCTCCCCAATACGCAGCCAGAAGCCAAGCGCTGTTCTGCTGGGATTTCCCGTCTGAGTGAAGTGTAAGAGCTGGCTAGGGATTCTACGCTTCTGCTACGCTTGGGCCGCAAAATTTTATATGGTCACAACGGTCGAAAGACAAAATGTAGTTTTTCCGCAAAACACATAATATCCACGCCTCTTCTCGTTATGCCCTTCTCTCTCATTTTACTACTGTTCTGCATTTCTATGTGTTTTCTCACCTTACACAAATGCAAAAAGCACATATTATCAAGAGGATGGCTGTGTGTGTGTGTGTGTGTGTGTGTGTGTGCGTGTGTGTGTGTGTGGGCGAATGGCTGGGGGGCAAGTGAACTCCGTCACTTCTTTCAACTCCAGAACTGGGGAAGCCAGGAAGCTAAACTTTACGGGCGAGTACCTAACACACGTCTCATCCTTACAACTGCCAACGCAACCTTGGGTCATAAATACGGATACCAGCAACGACGTCCAAATTATGGCGTGAAAACGATTTCGAGAACCAAACAAGTTAAAAAGCCAAAATTTTAGGGTGGTACTCCCTCCGGATAAGTGAGCTAAATATTTCAAATTCAGCTATCGCGCACGCTTACGTCACGCGTACAATCACGTCACTGCTCACAACTGGCGCTATTCCAACTCAAAAACCAGCCGGAAAACAACAGTTGTAATTTTGCTAGAATACTTAATTGTCCAATTGGTTTTTAAGTCACTTTGCTAGGATAATTTTAAAAAGGCGTAACCTAGTATTTCGATTATATGTTCTGATCGCGTCTTTATCTCAGTTAGGTTACTGTTTCTTCATACCTGCTATTGATTGCATTGTTTATGTTAAGTACATTGCTTTAGCTCTTATGCCTATTTTTGTAGAAATACAGGCAATTCGAGTGGTGGCCTGCGCAATTCAAACATGTATAACTGAGTTTCTCCAGTTCAGAAGGTGGGCTACCTTTTCTGCTCACTTTTGCACCCTTCTGCTACATTTTCGCTCTTGCTCCCTTATTTCACTAATCGCTAGCTTTTTTGTGTTTCTTTTATACAATAATGCTACAACCGATGCACTAACGAGTTACGCAGCAACAGTAATGAAATTTACTGGACTGACGCTCCCCTATCTGAGTTAGGTACACTGTTTTGAAACCTTAGCTCATACGTGTCCAGATGTCGCCTACATCTGGACGCGTACGGGTCCAAAAAAAAACTTGCAAATTTTTTTTAAGGGATGTATGAGCTTTCTGTGCAGGTGTGAGCTGAAGGTTTCAAATTCATCTACCACGCACGCTTATACCATGCATACGGTCACGTCAGACTTCGCAAATGGCACTGTGCTAACTCGAGAACCAGCCGAGAAACAGTAGCTGAAATTTAATCAGACTATATCACTTATACGGGAATCGTATACCTAAACTAAGTTTCAATTTACACTTGCGCCACGTTTAAGGTGTTTCAAAGGTATTTGCAGCGAAGTGGCTTTTTCGCCCGCCAGGCAAGCTGTGAATTGAAACTTCGCAAGGATATTCTATATTCATATACTCAATTCAACGTTAGTGATCTGCAAAGTTAGCGCAAAAACGTATGATCGCACCGGTAAGCCCAGTGTGTTGGG